AATGACTTTGCAAGAAGTTACAGGCTTAGAAAAGAAGCTCCTTGGCTTTTGGCTCTGTTGGACCTGGTTTGGGCTACGTGGCCATTCTCAGTGCAGCCTCCTGAAAGGATGAACGTGTCCACTGTTGTGGACATTTACAAGATGAACTCGGGGGAACCAGAAAGGAAGGCCGGGAGGCGGTAGGAAATGAGGGTGACACAGAAAACACAGAAGGGCATTTTCAAGAGGGAAAGGTCAGCTGTAGGAGCTGATCCTGCTGAAGCAACTCAGGAAAGAATGTAGCATAAGCGCCCTTAGCAATGAAGTGGTGACTAAAGACCGTATCAAGATTTCACTGTGTGGTGGGGCAGAGGAAAGAGCAGAGTGCCCTACCTGAAAGCTAGAAGGGGACCGGCAGGAATATAGACGAAGGTGGTCATCAGGGCGTAGATACCTGGACGTGGTTTTAAACGATCGTGGAGCATTCCTGTGAGTCACTCCAGGCTGACGCGGCTCACACTATGCTGTAGGTTAGTTTGTGCATCTTTAAGTTCTTAGTGAGATGCTGCTTAGCTCCCTTGTGAGAGATCGGCTAACGTGGCTTCCGCCCCCAGAAAAACAGGGGTATCTGTGTGTGATTTGAGAGTAAATGAAGAACTGTAGGAACTTATGTTTAAAGGGCTAAATTGCCCTTCCAGCCCAACAGGAGTTGATCAAGTGAAGTCTGTTTGTTTTTTAATCTTTTTGGTTATGATCAGACTAACTCTGTGATTATGTTGTCAGTTTCTTTAAAACACTATTTATTGAGGCAATGTTGGTTTACATGATTGGGTTTGTTTTAGGGCCTTAAAGGTTCCCTCTGCAGATGCGCATCCTCACACCCTGCCGACCACGGGCCCCAGTAACCCCCACCACGGTCCATGGAGCCCCCCCACACCCAGACACCTGCCTTTCTGAGTGTTGGGGTACAAATTTTGCAGCCAGATGTCATGGGTTCGTTGCTGGCTTGGTTTTTTCTGAGCCTGTGTTTTGTTTCTCTCTGTTGCACATGTACAAGAAACAAGAGACGATGACAGTCAGCCCCTCCCACCCCCGGGTTTTGAGGTGCATCTGTGGGCTGTCAACCAGCAGACAGATGTGTTTTTTACGCTCACGGATCAAGCCGCGCTTGGAAACCAGTCTGTCGAGGCCACATCAGTCATTTTATAATTGGGCGCAAAGTATCTTATAGCCACGGTGTGGGATTTTGCAGAGTGAGCCCTCAGGGCTGCAGGTTGCTCCTGTCCGGATTCCTTCTGGCGTGCTGTGGGGAGTTTGCCAGGTGGGGCTGGATGAACGCTCGATTGGCTTCTTGGATCTCGTGCCTCTGACCTGGCCCCGATGTGATGAGCGGCCGCGGTGGCGAAATGTGCTTTTCGTGCATCTGGATGACGTTCTGAGACCTTGACCCTCTTTGTAACCTGCGGTCTGTGAAGCAGCACGGTGATTGGTTCCTGGGCTGGCCTGTGACCCTCCACCTCCCCCGAGACCTTGCATGGGGCCATGACACTTTAAACCCTGCGTGTGGGCTTTCAAAGGAGGCCGCTGACTGTGGGAGGGAGGATGGTTCCTGGAGGAGAGGAGGTGTTCACAGCAGTTAACCCTGCTCTGTGGCTGCTGGCCTAGTGACAGGCTCGCCGACTTCACTCAGCAAGCGCCCGCCTGGGCGGGTGGCGTGAGGACGGGTCAGGGCGGCCCCGGGGTGCTTTAAACACACAGCCTTCCCTGGGCTTCGGTTACCCCTCACCCCCCGCTGATTTGTTGGTTTTTTTTTT